AGACTAGCGGTAACCTCTGTCAACATGTGTCTACAGACTAGTGGTAACCCGTGGCGGCAACATGTGTCTACAGACTTGTGGTAACCCTGACAATATGTGTCTACAGACTAGTGGTAACCCGTGGCAACATGTGTGTCTACAGACTTGTGGTAACCTCGTGGCAACATGTGTCTACAGACTAGTGGTAACCCTGACAATATGTGTCTACAGACTAGTGGTAACCCGTGGCAACATGCGTCTACAGGACTTGTGATAACCCCTGACAAAATGTGTCTACAGACAAGTGGTAACCCGTGGCAATATGTGTCTACAGACTAGTGGTAACCCGTGGCAACATGTGTCTACAGACTTGTGGTAACCCGTGGCAACATGTGTCTACAGACTAGTGGTAACCCGTGGCAACATGTGTCTACAGACTAGTGGTAACCCGTGGCAACATGTGTCTACAGACTAGTGGTAACCCGTGGCAACATGTCTACAGACTAGCGGTAACCTCTGTCAACATGTGTCTACAGACTAGTGGTAACCCGTGGCAACATGTGTCTACAGACTTGTGGTAACCCCTGACAATATGTGTCTACAGACTAGTGGTAACCCGTGGCAACATGTGTCTACAGACTTGTGGTAACCCGTGGCAACATGTCTACAGACCAGTGGTAACCCCTGACAATATGTGTCTACAGACTGAGTGGTAAGCCGTGGCAACATGTGTCTACAGACTTGTGATAACCCTGACAAAATGTGTCTGCAGACTAGTGGTAACCCGTGGCAACATGTGTGTCTACAGACTGAGTGGTAACCCGTGGCAACTTGTGTCTACAGACTAGTGGTAACCCCTGACAATATGTGTCTACAGACTAGTGGTAACCATTGTCAACATGTGTCTACAGACTTGTGATAACCCGTGGCAACATGTGTCTACAGACTTGTGATAACCCGTGGCAACATGTGTCTACAGACTAGTGGTAACCCGTGGCAACATGTGTCTACAGACTAGTGCTTTCCTGTAGTCACATCCCATATATACCATGTACACTCATCACGTATATGTGTCTACAGGCTAGTGGTTACCATTGTCAACATGTGTCTACAGACTTGTGGTAACCATTGTCAACATGTGTCTGCAGACTAGTGGTAAACATTGTCGACATGTGTCTACAGACTAGTGGTAACCATTGTCAACATGTGTCTGCAAACTAGTGGTAACCATTGTCAACATGTGTCTACAGACTAGCGGTACGATTGTCATCATGTGTCTACAGACTAGTGGTGTCCCGTATCAACATGTGTCTGCAGACTAGTGGTAACCCGTGGCAACATGTGTCTACAGACTTGTGGTAACCCGTGGCAACATGTGTCTACAGACTAGTGGTAACCCATGGCAACATGTGTCTACAGACTAGTGGTAACCCGTGGCAACATGTCTACAGACTAGCGGTAACCTCTGTCAACATGTGTCTACAGACTAGTGGTAACCCGTGGCAACATGTGTCTACAGACTTGTGGTAACCCCTGACAATATGTGTCTACAGACTAGTGGTAACCCGTGGCAACATGTGTCTACAGACTTGTGGTAACCCGTGGCAACATGTGTCTACAGACTAGTGGTAACCCCTGACAATATGTGTCTACAGACTAGTGGTAAGCCGTGGCAACATGTGTCTACAGACTTGTGATAACCCCTGACAAAATGTGTCTGCAGACTAGTGGTAACCCGTGGCAACATGTGTCTACAGACTAGTGGTAACCCGTGGCAACTTGTGTCTACAGACTAGTGGTAACCCCTGACAATATGTGTCTACAGACTAGTGGTAACCATTGTCAACATGTGTCTACAGACTTGTGATAACCCGTGGCAACATGTGTCTACAGACTTGTGATAACCCGTGGCAACATGTGTCTACAGACTAGTGGTAACCCGTGGCAACATGTGTCTACAGACTAGTGCTTTCCTGTAGTCACATCCCATATATACCATGTACACTCATCACGTATATGTGTCTACAGGCTAGTGGTTACCATTGTCAACATGTGTCTACAGACTTGTGGTAACCATTGTCAACATGTGTCTGCAGACTAGTGGTAAACATTGTCGACATGTGTCTACAGACTAGTGGTAACCATTGTCAACATGTGTCTGCAAACTAGTGGTAACCATTGTCAACATGTGTCTACAGACTAGCGGTACGATTGTCATCATGTGTCTACAGACTAGTGGTTTCCCGTATCAACATGTGTCTGCAGACTAGTGGTAACCCGTGGCAACATGTGTCTACAGACTTGTGGTAACCCGTGGCAACATGTGTCTACACAGACTAGTGGTAACCCATGGCAACATGTGTCTACAGACTAGTGGTAACCCGTGGCAACATGTCTACAGACTAGCGGTAACCTCTGTCAACATGTGTCTACAGACTAGTGGTAACCCGTGGCAACATGTGTCTACAGACTTGTGGTAACCCCTGACAATATGTGTCTACAGACTAGTGGTAACCCGTGGCAACATGTGTCTACAGACTAGTGGTAACCCGTGGCAACATGTGTCTACAGACTAGTGGTAACCCCTGACAATATGTGTCTACAGACTAGTGGTAACCCGTGGCAACATGTGTCTACAGACTTGTGATAACCCCTGACAAAATGTGTCTACAGACAAGTGGTAACCCGTGGCAACATGTGTCTACAGACTAGTGGTAACCCGTGGCAACTTGTGTCTACAGACTAGTGGTAACCCCTGACAATATGTGTCTACAGACTAGTGGTAACCATTGTCAACATGTGTCTACAGACTTGTGATAACCCGTGGCAACATGTGTCTACAGACTTGTGATAACCCGTGGCAACATGTGTCTACAGACTAGTGGTAACCCGTGGCAACATGTGTCTACAGACTAGTGCTTTCCTGTAGTCACATCCCATATATAACATGTACACTCATCACGTATATAACATGTACACTCATCACGTATATAACATGTATATGCATCAAACGGTGTTTAGTAGATATCACACACTCAGTTGCAAAAATCCGGACGCATCACTTTCATGCTGCTGACGCGGAAAAGTTAATCTGTCAATGTTTTATCTCCATATAACATCATTCATAGGGAGCCCACACAGCAGGAGAAACTATTTGAAAGTGTTCGTTTTCATTACTTACAACATGTTTGACGTTCCTCAGCCAAAAACCGTACACTCTACGTCAGGGATTATTGTTGCCGAGTACACCTATGCTTTACGTCAGGGTTATTGTTGAAGAATACACCTATGCTCTACTTCAGGGTTATTGTTGAAGAATACACCTATGCTCTACGTCAGGGTTATTGTTGAAGAATACACCTATGCTCTACTTCAGGGTTATTGTTGCAGAATACACCTATGCTTTATGTCAGGGTTATTGTTGAAGCATACACCTATCCTCTACTTCAGGGTTATTGTTGTAGAATACACCTATGCTCTATGTCAGGGTTATTGTTGAAGAATACACCTATGCTGTGCGTCAGGGTTATTGTTGAAGAATACACCCATGTTGTACGTCAGTGTTATTGTTGAAGAATACAGCTATGCTGTGCCTCAGGGTTATTGTTGAAGAATACACCTATGCTGTACGTCAGGGTTCTTCTTAAATAATACCTCTATGCTGTACATCAGGGCTGTTGTTGAAGAATACACCTATGCTGTGCGTCAGGGTTATTGTTGAAGAATACACCTATGCTCTACGTCAGGGTTATTGTTGAAGAATACACCTGTGCTCTATCTCAGGGTTATTGTTGAAGAATACACCTATCCTCTACTTCAGGGTTATGGTTGAAGAATAAACCTATGCTCTTCGTCAGGGTTATTCTTGAAGAATACACCTGTGCTCTATCTCAGGGTTATTGTTGAAGAATACACCTATCCTCTACTTCAGGGTTATTGTTGAAGAATACACCTATGCTGTACATCAGGGTTATTGTTGAAGAATACTCCTATGCTCTACTTCAGGATTATTGTTGAAGAATACAACTATGCTGTACGCCAGGTTTATTGTTGAAGAATACACTTATGCTGTACATCAGGGTTATTGTTGAAGAATACACCTATGCTCTATGTCAGGGTTTTTGTTGAAGAATACACCTATGCTGTGCGTCAGGGTTATTGTTGAAGAATACACCTATGCTGTACATCAGGGCTGTTGTTGAAGAATACACCTATGCTGTACGTCAGTGTTATTGTTCAAGAATACGTCAATGCTCTATGTCAGGGTTATTGTTGATGAATGCACCTATGATGTACATCAGGGCTGTTGTTCAATAATACACCTAACGTTGTACGTCAGGGTTATTGTTGAAGAATACAACTATGCTGTACGTCAGGGTTATAGTTGAAGAATACACGTATGGTCTGTGTCATGGTTATTGTTGAAGAATACACCTATGGTCTTCGTCAGGGTTAGTCTTGATGAATACACCTATGCTCTATGTCAGGGTTTTTGTTGATGAATACACATATGTTGTGCGTCAGGGTTATTGTTGAAGAATACACCTATCCTCTACTTCAGGGTTATTTTTTAAGAATACACCTATGCTCTATGTCAGGGTTATTGTTGAGGAATACACCTATGCTGTACATCAGGGCTGTTGTTCAATAATACACCTATGTTGTACGTCAGGGTTATTGTTGAAGAATACACCTATGCTCTATATCAGGGTTATTGTTGAAGAATACACCTATGCTCTATGTCAGGGTTATTGTTGAAGAATACACCTATGCTCTGTGTCAGGGTTATTGTTGAAGAATACACCTATGCTGTGCGTCAGGGTTATTGTTGAAGAATACACCTATGCTTTATGTCAGGGTTATTGTTGAAAAATACACCTATGCCCTACTTCAGGGCTATTGTTGAAGAATACACCTATGCTCTACTTCAGTGTTATTGTTGAAGAATACACCTGTGCTCTACGTCAGGGTTATTGTTGAAGAATCCACCTGTGCTCTACGTCAGGGTTATTGTTGAAGAATCCACGTATCCAAACACTGAGATGCCGTGTCCCTCGAGCAATGTGTATTGCATACGTGTTCTCTCTGTGATTCCTTTGGTATAATGAATATTTCATGTATGAGTGATACTTTGTTGATAAGGGACAAGGATGAAATATTAACGAAGGTCTCACTGTGTTCATGTTACCTATCAGATGAAGGCTGCTGCTGCTGTAAACCAACATGTTGATACTTGGAAGACTGGCGATCAATTGCTACCGACGTGCTACCGTTTCTTTCGATGCGGCTTGGTGTGATAATTTAAGGGTGTTGAACATTACTATATTTGGAATATGCAGTTCAACGATAAACACTTTACATTTGTCGACGATTAAAAACAGCTAATGAATTGTGTGAAGAAGTACACATCAATAACGGGAGTTAATTTACAGCTGAGAGTGTGAAATCTCCTCGACCTATCAGCTGCGAGACAGCGTGTACGGATAGAGTAGCGGACCATTCACGTTTCTATTGTTTTACTGATGGCGTTGTAACAAAAAAGTGCCTGTTGAGACTTTAGCCATGCTCAAACACAGGACCATTAAACCACGGAAACAATGCTCTCCCCGTCTTGCCTTTCTCACCATAGTTTTACTGATGTCGTGTTTAATCGCAGGCTAAGCGGACACTGTGATTGTTGCGTGTAATGGAATGACGAGTTAAGCCAATATTTGTATATGCGTTATAGCAGCAACGGACACTTTGTGTTGCAGTCGTGCTGGCGGCGTCTTTCATCGCCATGTTGAGGAATGCTGCGGCTGCGGACTGAGGCGACTAATGTCAGCAGCTGATGTTTAAGACGACCGGAGCGAGCACTATACCCCCACCTTCACACCCAGCATACCGTGCTACTTCAGGTACGTTCTATGTTATCACGCTACGTCTACTGAGGCCTGAATACACCTGACACCTCGGCAAGCATTTGGCTCAGGCTGTATATACTGTCCTACATTTTTCTTAAGATACAGTGATGTAAACCCATGATGTACTGATAAAGCTACTTATCAGTGGTTCCCCGCTGCTTGTTTGTTACTTATGTATTACGTTAAACTTCTTTCAATAAAGTCATTCCCTAACATGTCACTTTAGTATATTCTTCAAGATATCGCTTCGTTTACTTATGCTCTTCACGACATCTTTAACATGCCTTCTAGCATATGGCGACACCTTCAGTCATGACAACTCAGCTTACATATAGCGTTACAACAACCTTTAACATCTCGCCTCTACTTACATGTGTCGCTCCATGGATGGGATGATGTCAGTGTTAAAGTTTAACTCGCTCACTCGCACATTTAAACATATCGCCTCTTGTTACATCTCGTCACACATGCACCACAAGATCTCTAAACATGACAAATCAACTTACATATTATGTTTACACTTTATTTAAATAACAAACCACCTTACATATTATGTTTTACACTTTATTTTACTATGAAAAACCAACTTACATATTATGTTTACACTTTATTTAAACATGAGAAACCAACTTACATATTATCTTTACCCTATATTTAATCATGACAAACTAACTTACATATTATGTTTACTCTATATTTAATCATGAGAAACCAACTTACATATTATGTTAACTGTATATTTAAACATGACCAACCAATTTACTTATTATGTTTGCACTATATTTAAACATGATAAACCAACTTACATAGCAAACAAACTTACATATTATGTTTTACACTTTATTTAAACATGACAAACCAACTTACATATTATGTACACTATATTTAATCATGACAAACCAACCTACATATTATGTTTACACTATATTCAAATAGCAAACAAACTTACATATTATGTTTTACACTTTATTTAAACATGACAAATCAACTTACATATTATGTACACTATATTTAATCATGACAAACCAACCTACATATTATGTTTACACTATATTCAAATAGCAAACAAACTTACATATTATGTTTTACACTTTATTTAAACATGACAAATCAACTTACATATTATGTACACGATATTTAATCATGACAAACCAACTTACATATTATGTTTACACTTTATTTAATCATGAGAAACCAACTTAAATATTATGTTTACCCTATATTTAATCATGACAAACCAACTTACATATTATGTACACTATATTTAATCATGAGAAACCAACTTACATATTATGTTTACTCTATATTTAATCATGACAAACCAACTTACATATTAAGTTTTACACTTTATTTAATCATGACAAACCTACTTACATATTATGTACACGATATTTAATCATGACAAACCAACTTACATATTATGTTTACACTTTATTTAATCATGAGAAACCAACTTAAATATTATGTTTACCCTATATTTAATCATGACAAACCAACTTACATATTATGTACACTATATTTAATCATGAGAAACCAACTTACATATTATGTTTACTCTATATTTAATCATGACAAACCAACTTACATATTAAGTTTTACACTTTATTTAATCATGACAAACCTACTTACATATTATGTACACTATATTTAATCATGACAAACCAACTTACATATTATGTTTGACACTTTATTTAACCATGACAAACCAACTTACATATTATGTTTTCTCTATATTGAATCATGACAAACCTACTTACATATCATGTTTACACTATATTTAATATGACTTACATGTAAAACGCAAATATTACGGATGGCAACTTCTTCTTTATTGTATCTCACAACGGTTCTGGGCTATTCCTTGTCCCTTCGTCAGGTGCATTTTGTGTAAGGAAAAGCCCAGAAACGTTGTGACATACAAATATAGAAGAAGTTGTCATCCATAAAATTTGCGTTTTACTTGAATGCCAACTTCTAAATGCCTCTCAAGAACCTTTATGACTTACATATAGACACATGGTGTTTTATAACATTATGAAATATGTTATTTCCAAATTACAACATCTTTAAACAAAACACATATGGCACTGCAACCCTTGTTAATCTATCCTCATGTGAAATGCAACATTGACAGGGAGATTTGCAGCTAATTGCATTTTCGAGTCTGTCACGTCTTAGCATCCAAGTATTATCTCGTCTATATATTACAGGTTGGGGATTCCCGACATGAAAATTAGCCCTCACATATACATCAGTGGTGCGAGAGTGAATGGGAATATGGGTGGTGAAAATTCGTTACCAGACTGCAGATGTGTTTCCACCCCGATGGCTTGGTATTGCAATTAACCACTGGTTTCATTTGCTGAGAGTCGTATATTTCTTTACATATTACTGTATTAAAACACACCCTAACTATGACCAATATTAGTCCTTTTTTGTCTTTAGAAAACAACAATAATAATAATAATAATGCTTATTGGTAATTACTAAACACTTTGAATAAGACTAATGGTGTTTCAGATTACCCTTTCGATGGAATTTGATAGATATCAAGTTTTCTAAGATGCCTAGCGGTTAGAACAATCGAAAAAAACAAACATTATCAGACAATAAAGGTATAGTTTTTTGATGACGTAACAATTGAATGACGTTATCCCGTCACTGCGCCATTCTAGTCTGCCCCCTCGTAATCGAAACATTTTACATTACGTCACAATGTAAGCGACGTCACGATGCATGTCAGTTGTCATCGCCTTGTACGGCCTCCTACAGTAAACTACTCCGTTGCATCACGTTTCTTGGTTTGCAGTTGCTTCACGCAGCTAACATCACTGCTGGAAACATTACGTTTATGTTTTACGACGGTTAAAATGTGTCAATTCGACTCACAAGTTTTCAGCGACACGGTAACGTTCGCAATGTTTACATTCCCATAATGCAATCGTGGAACGTGGCTTGACTACTCAATATTCATCTGGATGTACTGATCTAAACTTACGTTGGTAGTAGAAATGCGACGTTCATATTGCCCCATATGGTTTACGTTAATGACAGATGTAATTAAAATAATTCAGAGAAGATATTTGAGCCGAACGTAAATCGTCATCAAACTGTTATCATTTGTTTTTTTCTGGTAACGTTCGTCTTAACGTAGGGGGGCAGACACATCAATAGAACAGCGCGCCAGTAAGCCTTAAATTAATCGTAATTATCCTTAGAAAGTATTACATTTGGCATCTTAGAAAAGAAATACAGTTCGCTCTACCACCATGTATAGTGTAATAAAGCACACTTTCGCCCTGAACTATTATAGTTAAAGTACGAGGACGCTTGCTTCCGAGTACTTTAACTATAATAGTTCAGGGCAAAAGTGTGCTTTATTACACTATACATGGTGGCAGAGCGAACTGTATTTCTTTTCTAAGATGCCAAATGTAATACTTATCAACACCAACCAAACTGCTTATGTGAGAGTATGTCTGACACAGTGTTTCATATGTCACAGTACTGGGCGGTGTGAGAGTGTCTAACACAGGGTTTCATATGTCACAGTACTGGGCGGCGTGAGAGTATCTGACAAAATGTTTCATATGCCATAGTAATGGGCGGTGTGAGAATATGCCTGACACAATGTTTCGTATGTCATCGTACTGGGCGGTATGAGTGTATATCTGACAAAATGTTTATATGTCACAGTACTGGGCGGTGTGAGAATATGTCTGACACAGGGTTTCATATATCACAGTACTGGGCGGTGTGAGTGTATGTCTGACACAGGGTTTCATATGTCACAGTACTGGGCGGTGTGAGAGTATGTCTGACACAGGGTTTCATATGCCATAGTACTGGGCGGTCTGAGTGTATGTCTGACACAGGGTTTCATATGTCACAGTACTGGGCGGTGTGAGAGTATGTCTGACACAGGGTTTCATATGTCACAGTACTGGGCGGTGTGAGTGTATATCTGGCACAGGGTTTCATATGTCACAGTACTGGGCGGTGTGAGAGTATGTCTGACACAGGGTTTCATATGTCACAGTACTGGGCGGTGTGAGTGTATGTCTGGCACAGGGTTTCATATGTCACAGTACTGGGCGGTGTGAGAGTATGTCTGACACAGGGTTTCATATGTCACAGTACTGGGCGGTGTGAGAGTATGTCTGACACAGGGTTTCATATGTCACTGTACTGGGCGGTGTGAGCATATGCCTGACACAGTGTTTCGTATGTCATCGTACTGGGCGGTGTGAGTGTATGTCTGATAAAATGTTTCATATGTCACAGTACTGGGCGGTGTGAGAGTATGTCTGACACGGTGTTTCGTATGTGATCGTACTGGGCGGTGTGAGTGTATGTCTAACACAGTGTTTCATATGTCACAGTACTGGGCGGTGTGAGAGTATCTGACAAAATGTTTCATATGTCACAGTACTGGGCGGTGTGAGAGTATGTCTGGCACAGGGTTTGATATGTCATCGTACTGGGCGGTGTGAGAGTATGTCTGATAAAATGTTTCATATGTCACAGTACTGGGCGGTGTGAGAGTATGTCTGACACAGGGTTTCATATGCCATCGTACTGGGCGGTGTGAGAGTATGTCTGACACAGGGTTTCATATGTCACAGTACTGGGCGGTGTGAGAGTATGTCTGACACAGGGTTTCATATGTCACAGTACTGGGCGGTGTGAGAGTATGTCTGACACAGGGTTTCATATGTCACAGTACTGGGCGGTGTGAGAGTATGTCTGACACAGGGTTTCATATGTCACAGTACTGGGCGGTGTGAGAGTATGTCTGACACAGGGTTTCATATGTCATCGTACTGGGCGGTGTGAGAGTATGTCTGACACAGGGTTTCATATGTCATCGTACTGGGCGGTGTGAGTGTATGTCTGATAAAATGTTTCATATGTCACAGTACTGGGCGGTGTGAGAGTATGTCTGACACAGGGTTTCATATGTCATAGTACTGGGCGGTCTGAGAGTATGTCTG